AACATCGTTGGCTGATTAGCTGTTTGGCGGCGATGTCGAGGCTGGTAGCTTCATTTCCCGGGGCTCACGGCGGCGGAAAATGAGGCGGGGCTTCATTTTCTGGGGCTCATGGCTGGCCGGAGATGGGAATGGTCACCGGCGGTCATTTTAGGCTAGGTCTAGAGTATGGTCTAGTTGAAATATGTCTAAATGTAATGATTTTACTCCGTTTAAATGGGAAGTATCCGGTTCTATGTAAAAATTATCCAATGAGTATGAATGAATATCGTCCGGTTTATTTGAGTTTGCATCAAAATTGTTCAGTTTTCGTTAAAATTCGTTTGAAATGTAACCGGATAGATGCATATAGCTTTAAATGGCCGGCTCTTGTGTCCGTGGACTCGTCCCCCAGTTTGTGAACGGACACGGGAGATAATTTGAAGATGCACTAATCCGCTCGGTTGCATAATGCAGTATATGATAAGCTGTCACTTTTAGCCACACTTGGTTAGATATTTAGGAGAATGCATGTCACATTCCAGATGGTTTTCATACGAAGACACAAGGCCGGTGCATCTACAGCGACTTCGCCGTAGTTAAACTCTGGATCTCAATCTTTTGTACGAGTTGCGTCGACGTGTGTCGTTGGTGATCTGTCCATTCTCATTACACCTTTTTTAAATATATTTCCCACCATCGCGTGTCCCACTGCCACATCGTGCTGCCCGTAAGTCAGGTTTAGATATTTTCGCTCCATATAATCCAACCGAGCAGTGGGGCCAGTCCGCTGCATCCTTATCCGGCACGACTGTCCAAAGCGGGGCTCGTCATCCAATCTTATCACCCCAAGCGCTGGTTCGGCTCACCGTCCGGTCAAAACAAGCTAACCTCATCGCCACTGACATTTCTAGAGGCCACGCCACACCCCGGTCCGATCCTTCGTTTGCTAGTACACTGTGTTGGACACTAGCCGTAGGTGTACAGGTGCCCGTGTGTGATCTAGAGCGGTAACGCAACCCGACGGTGACCGCATCCCCGTCCCTGCATGATTTAAGTGTCCCCCAGTCTCACCTAACTCAGTCGGCCAGTGCACTTGATCTTATCGGTGGTAGTGCTACAAGCGAGTGACACTAGTTCTTGCACCGATCAGATCCAACTTCTGCACAGGATGCTGGACAAGCTGTGGGACGACGTGGTGGCCGGGCCTCGCCCGGAGACGGGCCTCGACAAGCTCCGCCGGGCCGCCGCCACCCAACCCCTCGCCATCAACACAGGTACAGTTTATATACGTTAGTCCAGAGGTACCGACATGGCCTGAAACTGTTGAGAAGAACGTAAGAACTAGCACGAGTAGTTTTCAGAAGAAGATTTGATGCTTAACCGGAGGATCTGTTGGGTTTATTATTGTGTGAACTGACGGCGGTTTACATGGATGTTGGTGGAGGTGCAGCTGCAGGGGAGGCGATTAAGCAGTCGCCGTCGATGCCGACGACCCCGACCACGCCGGTGACGCCGTCGTCGTCCACGCCGCCGCGCGGCGGCAGCGTGTGGCGGAGCGTTTTCCACCCCGGGAGCAACCTGGCCACCAAGAGCCTCGGCGCCAACCTCTTCGACCGCCCGCAGCCCAACTCCCCCACCGTCTACGACTGGTACGTACGCTAGCTCATGATCTATATATCTCACGGTACAAAATCAGTTTTAGTAACACGATCTACTGGGAACTTTAAACGGGTGAACATGGCAAATGATAATAACGCTGCCACGTACGTTTGATGTCCAGGCTTTACAGCGACGAGACGAGGACAAGGAGCAACCACCGCTAAATAAGAGCCGTCGGCCAGAGAACTGAAGGCAGGGTGCTCAACAACTTGTGCGACGCCGCCATGTTTGCTGCTCTTTTGGTTATCTAATCCTGCGTAGCGTACGTTGCTGTCCGAGGCTGCATGTGGTTTGTCTTCAGCTTCGTACTACTGTCTACTAGTGCTTGTAACTTTATTTTCTTGGCTCGGTATGCTCGCTGCATGCTAGCGAGTGATGGGTGTATGTGTGTGCTCTGTGTAAGCTCCATGCGTGTGTAAATTCTCTCGTGTGTGTGGTGTGGTCTTCTCAATGTTTAACCACCTATGGTAAAGACAATAACAGCCTCAGAGCAAGTTTTCCTTTTTTTTTCTCTGATATGTTTTTCTTAGACAATAACACCCTAAGATATTTATTATCAAGGAAAACAATAGGTAGTACAATGAACGAAAAACTGAACTAGACGCAGAACGGTTAACAAGGATAAAAAATCATTGAAAATTATACTAGCCTTGTTCTTTTTCTGCTGTCCGTTGGAGATTAAACATTACATTGGACAATATTTTTTGAGAGTACGTCTAGACGTATCATATATTTTTATAGAAAACTGAAATATCATATTTTTATAAAAGGCATTTATAGAAAACTGAAATACCATATTTTTATAAAAGACAAAAATCAATTACAAGAGACTACGACTTTTATAGAAGGCATAAATCAATTACAAGACTTCAACTTGCTGCAAACAACAAGTGTAGTTGAAACTTGGCATTCCATCGCAATAATTACAAACAAACGAAAAAGGTCCTGCCTTATGCTAATCATCTAGCTGCGTCACAACAAAAGTAGGTCGCCTCGAAGAGCAATAAATCCACCCAAAATCCCTTACCAACGCACTACCACTATTACTACTAGGAAAATGCTTATAGATAGAATTTTATCAGTAGTGTTTGTTATAGACCCCACACTACTGATAATTACCAGTAGTGTTTGTTATAAAACACGCTACTGGTATAACATAGTAGCGTTTTTGAAGGCCACCCTACTGGTAAGTTTGCCACAACACATCATTCGACAAAGAAATATTAGTAGCGTTTGTAGTCTAACCAGTGCTACTGTTAAGAAAGTAGTTGTAGCGCCTGTGCACCTAGACGCGCTACTGCTATTTTTTCTATAGGTAACTTATACCAATAGCATTGTTTTTGTACAAGTGCTATAGTTAGTTTTACGTACCAGTAGATATTTTGCTGGCACTCATAGCAGTAGCATGCTTTGGCACCCCGCACTACTGCTATGGTCGCCAGCCACCTACCACCTTTCCCCTCATTCCTCCCCTTTCTTCTTCCTCTCCCTCTTCCTTTCTCCCTCTTTCATCTTGCTTGTTCCTTTCAATGCTCTCCCTCCACCACCCCTCCATTAGAGCCCTTCCTCCCCGTCTTCTTTGCCCTCCACCACCCCCTCTTCTTTGTGCCCTCCACCACCACCCCCTCCATTAATGCCCTCCCTCCCCCTCTTCTTTGCCATCCACCCCC